GTGGTTAGTGCGGCGGCACACTGCCTAAGAAGTCAGCTTTGTAATTCAAAAAAGTTATCGCAAATAGAAATTCTTTTCTTGTTATAAATTCCATTGAGCGACGAATTTATCAAACGTTATTTAGACCAGCATTGCTCAGTCGGTAGTGCGTGGGACTCAGAACGGAGGTCCGGGGTTCGAGCCCTCGTAAGGATCACTCGCCATTCTTCCCTTCGAAGTAGAAAAAATGAGCAATAATCTGTGGGGAGGAAACAGGAGACTATACACTATGCTTTTTACATATCGGCTGCCGGCTCTGTTTTTAATGGGTTGAAGCGAATTTTAACCTTGAGGCGTTCGCAGCAGACGCCATGGCTCTTGCTCGACCATACCAGTACACCAAGCAATCCCTTTTATGCGCAGGTCAATGACTTCAGAGATAAAATTTACGCCGCGCGTGGGGTTTGCATCTGACACGTCTGAAGTGCAAGCCGACTATATTCCCCACTTCCCATTTTGAATCTCCTTTCTGATCCTTAAGGTCTTCACACATATATATATAGCGAAACGTCTATTATCCTGCTTTAAATAAGTGATGAATATGCATCAGTACTACCTTACAAGATACGTGAAAGCAATGAGCTGAAGAACGTACTACCTCCGTTCTACGGAGACCGAGCTCACTACTGTGGCATCATCAATTCTGGCGAGGCAGTGAAAATCACTGATTATTTAACTGTATGATACCAAATCAATGGGTGATGGAATCGGTAAAAAAACTTCATTTCGGGGTGTCCATGGCTTCAGAAAACCTCCAATGATCACGAACTCACGACTTCATAATTCATTTGCACGTAAAATACGGTTCCAGCTAGAAGCTTCAGAAAGCAGACATGGTTAATATTTAATCGAATCGATACCTTCGCTGTGGTCTTGACGCATTTCTCAAAAACTCAAATGCCTAAGGCAAACTAATGAGCAATCCGTCGAAAAGTCTTAAAGGCATATCAGCACTCAGAAAAAATAATTAATTATTGCTCGCCAGACGATGATAATAAAAACAAGTGGCCCTTCTAGTAAGCTGGTGAGTCATTAGTGACACCGGACAGAATACAACATGTCAGTCGGTCGGTCGACATGGCACAACGCGCTGAGTCAGCGGGACGTGCATCTTGTCTTCGAGAAACGACAGTCATACAGCTGAAGTAGAAGGAAATCAGGGTCTTCGAGCGACGACAAGAAGTTTACCGTTGCTTCTGCGCGAATCATTGAATATCTCATCTGAACAAATCGAAAATATAACAAAACAAATGCGTGAAAGCGAAAGACAGATGCTGATGAGGGCGATGAGGAGGCTGGTGTCGGCCAAAGTCGACTAGAGAAACAGGCTGAGGACCGGTTTTGAACATGAAAAGAAGCGGAAGCGAACGCAATCGTACGCAATATCCATTGCCAAGACCAATGTCGTAAATATCACATCAAATGTCACTTAAAACCAGACATCGAACGACATCGCCTTCTCTGTAGGCTTTAGCATGAAATAGTGATAAAAAAGACCGCTTTCGCTGATGCAGGGTCCAGTGCGGTAAAGTGACACCTCAGCATCATTTTGTGTTTATAGACTACAGCATCTGGTGTTTCATTTTTCGTCATTCTCTGAGATATTGGCAATAACTCGATAACCAACAGCCAGGGTACTGGGGTACTGGCACCGTCTTGAAAATACGGCTGTCAACGCGAAGTGCAGCGTCGGTCTCGAACATCGTTGTGTATAAGACGGATGCAACATAGTGATATGCCCTACTGCGCGGTCGATACATTCAAAGCTTGTTTTAACGTCAGAAGCTTTCGGCCGTCCCAGACCATGTCATAATATTGTTCGCGAACGAGCTTCTGAATCACAGTGAACACGATCTTAAAACTCTTCGTTCTTCTTCACATTCTTCGGATGCTGTCGGCAACCCACCCTACGTTCTAAGGTGTTTCGTATCTGCGCCGCTATTTCTTTCTTCTGTCAGATACCCTTTACTGACGAGCATTACACTGATTACAATAGTTTTCATCATAGATTTGTTACAGTTTCATTTTATTTTAATTTCTCTGCATTTTTTTTCAATTACATTCATAACTACATTAGTGCAACATACATAACGTACCGTATAACATTGCACATTATCAGTTCCACTTCCATATATGCACCTGCAATCTACATATCTTGGTATCTGTACCGAAGGAATTTTTATATATCTGTATAGAACATATAATTTGTCATATATCGAATTACAAACTTACGCCATACATTATATTACTATATAACGCTGAATATGCACATACCCATATTCAATAAACATAGCGAAAAGAAATGATTCATACGGAAGCACTGCATACTAATTTCACATGAACAGCTACATACACTGATATATTTATCTCAGATAACCGATATGTAGCTGCCCCTAACAATGCAGACTGAAACTAACGGACCTTTCAATCCAGAGTAGCAATGAGCAGTGTGTATCGCATTACTGCCTGAGCGCGAGCTCACGTCAAAGCCACTACGCAAACTTAAACATGCAGGCAGCAATGATGAGACTTACATAAAGGGATAGGCTCAGTAATAATCCAGTAAAACCACAAATCTGCTAGAGTCCATAGCAACATGGACAAATTTGCCACTATGAACGGTAATATATACATACTCAAATTTGCAAAAAGCTATTAAAAATTAATGCATACGTCTTTCTGTATTTAAGAAAGAAGATTTACTGAACGTCCATAAATTCGAAACTCAAATCCATTATTTAAATTTACGTCAGAAGGCTGATATTTATGTGTACTTATTCATCTGCAATAATAAAAGCGTTACAAAGGTTCCGATATTTCTTCTAACGAATGAAAATAATGCAAATCCACAAAATAGGCTCAAAGACCAGAAACAGTGACATACAGACCGCTTGAGAAACAGAGGCCTTTAGAAACTGTGCCCGCTGCCTGTATGATAGCCAACATCTATCACGCAGCATATTAACATCTGGATACGCTCACAGAGCCCGGAATAGATCTGTGCCAAAAAATGAGTATCTCAACCTCAGCGCATATCCTCTGTAACTGCAACTCATGGAACATTACTTGATTATGCTAACCGTAAACAACTTTGACAATGCATGCATTTATTTTTGAAATTGTGACACTCACTTTTCCTGCTTCTGCTTTAAATCTTCCATATAACTTTTGAATTCCACTTTATCGATCTAATTTTTCCTCTTCTGTGTACACTCCGAAAAACAGAGTTCTTTATTGATTGATTCCCTTCAACCAGTTAAACTCATAAACTTTAATCGAATCACTGCTTAAACATTCCATAATGATGTCAGAGAAAAGGGACGGTACAACAAAATAAGCGCGTACAACTTTTGATGCGATCATCGTCTGGGGCTTTTGGATCATGAGACGATGCAAACGACAAACGACTAGACAGAAGCATTACATATTAGCCCTAGGTTCCTGAAAGTGCTTAAGGATCTGTGTAGGTGAACGAATGAACGCCTCATGTATGAGATTCATAATGCCCATAAGAACTTTAGGCGTAAATATGACTTTTCAGTTTCTATTTCAGAAAAGAAGATCGAGGAAGAAGAAAAAGAAAAACAGTGCAAAGAGATCTTGGCCATGAAACAGTTCGGTCCTACCTATGACCCGCATATGAAACGGAGGTCTGAATTGCAGCACCGTGTACATACGTACGAGTGGATATTTATCTACAATGTAATTACCTGCGTAAAAAGTAAATGTGCGCGATGTATAAACCCGTATGAATCATATTTTGCCAGGCATATAATGAGTATCAATTTCAAAAAAAACCATTGCCGATAAACAAGTTATCGATCTAGCCAATATAACAACGTGAAATGTCCCTATGGATCGCACAGACTAAAATAGCATGGCAGAACAGTATACTCTGATGACTTCTTCAGCGTCCCAGAGCAAACGGCAAACGCAGCAATGTGGTGGTTCAACTCCGCTTGGCGTCTCGGCATCTACTTAAGGCAGGAAGAAGCGGAACCGAAACTCTGGCAATAAACAAAAACATCCAACAACAATCAGTCTTTAGCGCAAGAAACAAGCTTTTTTGATACAGTGTTCGAGGCATCGCAAGGAACCGGTCTCTATTTCACGTTCAATTTTCAAGGAAATAGGGCAAAAACTGGTCAAAACGAAACGGATGAACAAGAGTAATTTAATGAAATGGAAGAGCGCTCAATAGTTATTCCAAAAATCTGTTTACGTTCATGTTTTAATGACCGCCCCGAGAGCGCAATGAATGAGAAATAAATATACGTTGCTGCAGTAAATTATGCATAAAGCCATTACACCGG